ACATAAATCCATGCCTACCTAGCTACCTACATTACATGCATACATGCATATTTCGTGTGATCCGTGTGTGAAGGCATGTGATACATCCACATCTGATCCATCCATCCACGATTCTAAGGCGTACCCAGATTCGTTCGGGGAAGAAGTCGGTCCCTGTGGCCCGAGGAAAAAGGGGCGGTCGGGACGCTTCCGGTGAATGATGTGGAGGATGGGTTGACCTTCAGAGGTTTCCAAAGTGCCACAGATTCCATCGGCCATCAGCCACTTTCTATTGGAAGTGCTTCAGGATAAGGCAATTGATGTGTAAAAAAATGCAAGACTACCTGGACCTGGTTTTGGTTGCTGCAGTATATACCCATGTATAGATTTGTGCATTTGTATATGTACCCACGTCTGCATTTGCTGGATACAAGATCCAAGCAGCTACAGACCCACAATTTGCTGTGAATTGGCCCAAGTGCTCGCTTGCATTCCAGTTATTCTTGCTTGCAGTTATCCAGGCATTGGAGGGATACAGATCAACTTCCTCAGAGAACAAGATCCGGTCCAGATAAAGATGCGCTTACACTGTCTAGACTTTGCAAGTTGCCAATTTGCAACATCTAAGAGGCCATCCACAACCCTTAACTTCTGCTTCACGAGTCGCGGATCAGTCTTCATTTGGCAGGGCAGCTTTTCCGAGCACTTCCTCAAAGACATGGTGGTTTTGATTTGGAAACCTGCCAGTTTATAACTGCAACGATGTTTTAGGCCCATTGGATTATCAAGCAGGGTCATGAGAGATTGTGGATGACTAGCCCCTGTTCGCACATTTTTTGAAAGATCATACTCGTAGCAGCATAGCATTTACTGGTTGTTCCGCCAGAACTGAGGAGTGGCTTACCACCAGTTGCACTGCCACTTAGCTAGTTGAAAATTTCCTCAGCTGGGGGTCTGACTACCCACATGCAGCTGGTCATCATGCCATCCTTGCGAATTGCTTCTGGCTGGCGGGGAGCTCAGCTCGCAGCAATGTATATTTTCGGCGAGTTTCTTGTATGCTTGTTGGACAGCCCACGGTTTCACTAAGTTGAGTTCAGGTAAAATCTGCTGGAAAGAGCTGTGTTAACGTGGCCCCCCACCTTCTTGGACAGTCTCAAATCGGGGCTTTCTGGGTTCCGTACGGAAATGGTTCTCGGACCGGACTTCAGAGGTCCCAAGTTCCACCCTCAGGTGCTGGCCCCTTTTCCTCACCTTGGCGCGGGGGGAAGCATTGAAGTGGTGCTTTGCAATGAAGTGTGGAGTTGGCAAGTCCCTTGCAAAAAAGCACCGCAAAATCCAATTCTTTATCAGTTTCAACATCATTTTCTCCAGTCGAATGCCAATTCTATCCAATTCTGGGGTATCCCCTGTTTCCGAACAAATCAAGCTGCTCTCACTCAATGATTGGTGAACTTGGGACTGCCATTTCTCGGCCATCCCGGCGCAGGGCTGGCATGTGCTTGCACAAGAGCGAGGCACAGACCCAGAATGCTAAGGTGTTTGTTTGAATTGGGGTGATGGTTCGGTTTGGAGGTTCAGTGGGTTTGGTTCTCGCATCAAACATGTGGAGATTAAACTCAGCTCAGGTGCTTTTCTGTGCCGTAGCATGCCGCAGCCCAACCCTTTTGGCTAGGTGTCGACCATGGTGAAATGGATGATTAATGGATGATGCATATCCGTTCGTGGCGATCCCATCCCCATATCTTTGTTGGTGCTTTTACTGGTCCAATTCCATCCAATTCCTGTGGCTCGGATTTGTAGTGTCTCTATGTGTGTGTATATATATATATGTGTGTGTGTGCGTGTGTGTGTATATGTATATGTATGTGTATTTATAGTTATTTATGTATAGATTTTATCTATCTATCTATCTATCTACCTACCTATCTATCTATCTATCTATCTATCTAATCTACCTATCTACCTATCTATCTAATCTATCTAATCTATCTAATCTATATATTCTATCTATTCTATCTTATCTATCTTATCTATCTTATCTATCTTATCTATCTTATCTATCGTATCGATCGTATCGATCTTATCGATCGTATCGATCGTATCGATCTTATTTGTCTTATCTGTCTGATCTGTCCTATCTCTCCAATCTCTCCTCTCTATCCTCTCTATCCTCTCTCTCCTATCTCCTATCTATCCTCTCTATCTCTCCTATCTCTCCTATCTCTCCTATCTCTCCTATCTCTCCTATCTCTCCTATCTCTCCTATCTCTCCTATCTCTCCTATCTCTCCTATCTCTCCTATCTCTCCTATCTCTCCTATCTCTCCTATCTCTCCTATCCCTCCTATCTCTCCTATCTCTCCTATCTCTCCTATCTCTCCTATCTCTCCTATCTCTCCTATCTCTCCTATCTCTCCTATCTCCTCTCCTATCTCTCCTATCTCTCCTATCTGTCCTATCTGTCCTATCTGTCCTATCTGTCCTATCTGTCCTATCTGTCTAATCTGTCTAATCTGTCTAATCTGTCTGATCTGTTTGTCTGTCTGTCTGCCTGCCTGCCTGCCTGCCTGCCTGCCTGTCTGTCTGTCTGTCTGTCTGTCTGTCTTATATCTATCTATTATGCAAATTTATCCCGTTACATCCATAACTTTGTCGTTTTTCCTTCCAATGGGGAATCCAGAATCCATCGCTTGCCGCAGTGCCTCGTGGTGCGGCGGCAGATTTGCTGCGGGCCGTAGCCCAGGCGGAGCGATTCGAGGTGCTATTCATCCATGGTTTGGAAGATCTTGAGTGGAAAATGATCCAAGAGAATATATATATGCTTAAGGTGTAGATCCTTGCTGTTGAACATCGACCCAGATCACCAGCAAATATTGGCAGATTACAACCGGAAATTCGGAGGATTGGTGTGTGTTCCCATGCTTGGTCCTGGATCCTGTTGCTTGGGTCCTTTGTGAATTGTGTCCTCCTTGTTGGTGTGGGCCCCGACAAGATTTGGTCATACCCACTGGCCTGAAGGTGGTAGAAGCGCTGAAAGACATCACGCACCCATGTGCACCCTACATCATATCCTTGTTCATTTGTTTTGGGTGAATAGCGTATCATACACACCTAGAAGGCCCCCAAGAAGAGATAGCTGATATGCATGAATATTGGGCAGTCAAAGACAGCCCAAATTGAGGAGCAAGATCTATGGTGGATCACCCATGGGTATTTCAGAAAATGTGGAATACTTCCAAACAGCCATCGAAACATGAGGAACATATGAGAAAGTAGTGATGAACAGTGGTTACCCATCAAATTTTTGGGTGCACCATTTTGAGACAAACCATATAGATTGTATCCTTTACCAAAAGGAAAGTTCGAACCACTCCTCTCTTGAGATGGCCCGCAGGCAGCCCTGCTGGAATGCCGCAAGTCCTTGAAGGCCCGGGAAAATCCAGATATTGATCTCCAGGAAATGACCAAAAATTTAGCTTAGCTGATACAACCCGTGGAAAAAAGATATGTTCACCCCCTTCGATGTAAATGACATCCTTCTTGAAATGGGGAGGTTCAACTGCCGCTTGTGGACAGCTTGAGATTTGATGCAGGTCTGCGAAGCTTCTCCCGGAGAAGGACCTGAATATTGAAAACCTGGAAATGATGGTTCTTTGTTTTTTGTGTTTGATAATGTTTTATGAAGTTTTGTGCCAAAACGCCCATTGTTAGCATCTTTGATTATGATGTGATTATCTCCTTGTTCTCACCAGCTTATCTAAAGCCAGAACGTTTGATGGAGCCAGAGCCAGGGTCTCCCCACCGGTGTTTCAGCATTCAATTCGGCATTCCAAGCATGGAAGGAGCAGAAAAGCCCTCGACTCCAGTGAGGCTTGGGAAGGGTTGCCCAGTGGATCGGCCCAGCGATGTTCTCACTAGCAGCTGCAGGTTTGCACGAATGTTTGCCTATCTGTCCTCTGTGTGTTTACATCACTGGAAAAGACTGGTATTTGAGGAATCCCCTTTATGGTTTCCATGCAGGTCCTCCTTGTTGGCTCCTGGTGCCTTAGAAGCCCCAGAATGGCCAGAGGTCGGGAGCATGGGCAGCAACGGGGATGGATGGATAGATGGATGGAGGCAGCAGGGTAGTAGAAGTTGAACTCGGGAACAGATATGCTTCGAAAGATAATTCAGATGATGCTCTTTTTGTGTGGTTATGTATGTATGTGCATGTATATGTATATATATATATACATATACGAATAATTATATAATCGTTTCTTGACATGTTCAATAGAAACAGATGTTAGAGAAAATCCACGGTCCTCATGGAACTGGTTAGGCTCCAGGTTAGCTGAGCGGGCTTGCAACTTCTAACTGACCACTTGTGGTGCCGAAGTTTTCTCGCCCATTTGTTGCTTGTTGCAGTAGCCCAGCGCCTAGCTCCAGCTGACTTCGCGCCAGAATTATGCAGATCTTCTCCGCTTTCCTTTTGGCATCGCAGATATGAAGACTCTGAAGGACTCGCAGCTGGCTACTATGGGGATCTGTGGGGCAGATTGCAATTATTTTAAGAACTTGTGCGTTGAGTAAGATGGGATGCATGGGCAGGTGTCAGATTGACATGATTAAGCTGTGTGCTCCTCGAAAAAATTGCAATCGGTTAAGCAGGTTTGCATTCAAGCACTGGGAGATTATGTTTTCACTCAGTGATCGAAATATGACGTATGTGTGTCCCATAGCGTCCCATCTCTCAAATACTGTGCAGGAAGTGGCTCGAGAGTTATGGTCGCCCAGTGGATCTGCTGCGGACCTCTTGGATGAGGTGAAAACAAGCGGTGGTCGGAAATGGTGAGTTGTTAGGATACTAACGGTTGCTTCTTCGACATTTAGGCCGGCAGAATATGGATTCAAGATGATTCGAGCTCATATTCGCATAGATATTGAATATCTAAACCATCAAAATGAGGCTTTAAGCAGCGAAATAATTATCATGCCAATTGGGAAGTGGTTCGTAAGTGGGGTTACGACACCCAGCCATAGGTGGTACTTCCCAAGTACTGGGTGAACTTTGGTGAATGGTGTGGGTTGACAAAGCAAAGTGAATTAGGCTGCACCTCGCATCATTCCTGAAGTGTTTGATGGAAATGATAACTATCTGATACATGCAAAGTGGTGATGAGCTCAATATCCATTGCAGGAATGTCTTCCTCTCAAATCAGTGTTTTGCTTTCCCCCCAGCTATGTTGCGCCAAGCTTCACTAGCTAAGCTGGTGAAGCCCGTGTCTGCCCTTGTGGCTGCTGGCATTTGGCAATTCCCCACAGTGAGCCACAAATTTGCCAGGCCAGAGCGGCCTGACTCGCACCGAAGATGGTCAGCATCATCCGTGAGGTGCCAAGTTACCACGGCAGATGAAAGGTTGGTGGAAGACGTCTTGCATTTCCAACTCGTGGATCAAGAGATGCGAGCCCTCGCAAGGAAGAAGTTAGAAGGTCTCAAAGGAAATATTCCTTGGGAAAAGGTGGCTTTAGTTGGAGGTGTGGGTCTCGGTGCGGCTTTGGCACCCAAGCTGTTGCTTGCGGTCTTGGGCTTCAAGGGGTCAACCATTGCCGCCGGCTCATGGGCTGCCTCGGTGCAGCCAGCAGCCATTGCAAGTGGAAGTTGGTTTGCCTGGGCTCAGTCAACAGCAGCCACAAGTGGAGTCTTCGCGAAGCTTGGTGCCACATCATCTGCTCTGACGGTGGTGGCAACCAAGACCAAGGAGGTGGACATGACAGACAAGGAACTGCTCATGACCCTGGTCGAGAAGGAATTGTTTGACTATGAGATTCGCAATCTCATGACTAAAAAGCTTCAGTGCAGAGCAAAGCCATGAATATGGTGAGGCTTTGGTCAGCTTCGATTTAGACCACCTTGAGCCGGGCTGCGCACATACCCGGTGAAAAAGTGGTCAGGGGCAGGAGGTTCGACTTCGGTCTGGAACTTACGTATCTTACTTTAGCCAGCTGGTGATTGAACCATTTTTGATAGGTCGTGTATTTTCAATCCTACCCAGGATGATTGTCGTAAATAGATCAACTTGACCAACACTTTGGGCCAAGCGAGGCCGCTAAGAACCGCTAAGATGTAGGCTACCATGAGGTCGTGTGCAACCGCTGGGTGTGTATTGGTGCTTCTTGTGGTAAGGGCCAGAAACAGAGGTTCTTTTTTTGATGCCAAAACGTTGTTGGTTGAATTAGTTGAATGTATATAATTGTATATATATATATATTATATAATGATACATATATATATAATAAATTATATAGATAGTTAATGATATACATATATATATATCATATTTTTATATCACATACATATCTCTCTCTCTCATATATATATATATATGTGTGTGTGCTTGTGGTTGTTAGGGCTGGGTTATTTCGATCCTGCTATGATTGCCGTTAAACATCCCATTTTCGCGACGCAGGCAGGCAGGGTTCGTTGGGATGGACCCGGTCGCTTAGGCAGTTCACTCGTCAACCGAGTTTCGCCCTTCGCAGGTCTCAGAGCGTGGCTTTCGACAGCACAGGGGCATGAGGCTTGATGAGCGTGTGCCTGGAAGATGTTGATTTTTTCTCCCCAAATCCATGGCATTTCACACTTCGGTACACTATCGTACGCGTAGGTTGCATTGTTTGAGGTGGTTTGTGCGGAAGATGGGCCACTCTTTCCGCACTGGCAAGTGGAATGACCATGGGAAGGTCTAAACTCCCTGCCTCCGCAAAGTGGCTTTGCTGATGAGGGCCCAGCAAGCAGTTGGTTCGATTACTTTATCATCCAGAGTATTGAGATCTGGTTCCATATTTCACTGGATTAGTCTAAGGCAAATTTTGCAAGAAACCCCATGTTTCAGCGGAAAAACAATTGTTTCCGGCATTGAAATCATCCTATTGGTGGTTTCAAATACTATTCATCCTCAGTGCTGAGGGGTGCTCAGCCCAGGTGACGAACATATGTAAGGTTTTTTGGAGATAATCCACCTATACAGTGCATTAATTCCAGTTCTGCGCTGGTTGGCCAGTATCCCATTTCTATTAGGCCATTGGACCATTTGGACCTTGATATCCATAGAGGTTCAAGTATTGCCATAACCCCTTGTTCTGTTGGCTCAAGTTTGATGGTTATATTCTTGATATTCCCCAACGACACATGCTCACATATATATATATATGTATATATATATATATACTCATGTAGATCCACCGTGTCCAACATGAAAAAAGACAAAACACGACACATCGCAAAAAGCATAAGCAGAGGGCTCTGGAGGGAGAAAAACGTGAATAGCTTGAGGCAATGTCTCCATGTCCTAAAGGCATCATTTGTGATGGTTGAATATGTGCCCGTGTTGGAAAATGTCACGTTTCCTGGTTAGACTGCCACGGTTTAAATTCATCATATCACGAAAGGTAGCGTCAGCTACCTGAGTTCTCCGTGCTTCAGCACAAGCACAGGGGGTATTGGGGGGGCCAGCCCGGGCCAAACGTGGGCATCTAGCCGTTATGTATTAGATACCAATTATAAGGGAAATGGTCATGGGTTCAATTCCCGCGGGTAACGCGGTCACGGTCCGCCACAGTAGAGGCACACTCTCCATGAGGGAGATGTCCCTGTAGTTCAGCATAATTGGTTTGCTTCAGCCTCAATAACAGTTGCTGCAAGGGGTCTTAAAAAGGGGTTTTTAATAAACCCCTTTTTGTGCATCATTTCACGCTGCACAAGACACCGTATCATGCAGTCATGCTCTGGATAAAATCATCTTAGACTGCGCAAAAACGTTTTTGGTGTATCATCTTAGGGGCGCAGCATTTTGACACCACTCCTCTCCCACTACACTACCTTTCGTCCGCCTCCGCCTGCTCTCAAGTTGTATTGCGATACACTGTACATATATATATATACACATATTTATTTATATTACATACATATATCATATATTTACTCTATAATATATAATATATATATATGTGCAATACAATATATAAGATTTATATATATATATGTGTATTTATATATATTTAACATCCATTTTATATATATATATGTGTGTGTGTAATATAATTTAATACAATACGATATAATATATACTATAATATAATTTAATATAATTATATTTTATATCATGTATAATATATTTTTTTTTACAATATATCATTTTAAATCTACAACATATAATATGTAATATAGAATTTCTAATATATATATATATAATACAATTATATAATATAAAACATATACTATAATGTACATATGTACATAATATATGATATATGATATACAATATATATTATATTATATTTAATATATGTATATACTATATTATAATATATGATATGTGCTATTTAATATATATTATTATATGTGTACATTGGAATATGGAAGTCGATCCATTGTGGCAGGTGTACCTCAGAGATGGTGGGCGTGCACCCAATCGGAGGGGTTGGCACTCGCTGGTCGGCCAGAGGGGCCCAGTGGGCCCGACCTCACCGGTGCCCTTGGGGTGCAGTTCCATTGAATAAACCATATACAATTATATAACTGCCATATTTATGGGTATATGGCCATAATTATACTATGTTATAATGCTCATATCTCAAACTGTTTTATTGCCATTGTTAGATCCATGGGGAAACCCACCAGAACTGCACCAAGAATTGTAATGTCCAGCCTCCGGGTGGTGAGCTTCATGTGGGTAAAGCAATGCCATAAACCACCCATGACTGGGAATGGTAAACATACCACCTTGAAAAATGGTGATGATTGGGGGATGGTTTATGGCATTGTTTTCTTCCACATTATTTGGGATTGTGATCCTTGGTGTTTTTTCTATAAAGTTGACACTGCACCACGCGATGGCTTGGTTTTTGAAGCAGACTTGGCCTTGGAACATCATCAGCTTTACACTCCGAAAAATCATGTCTTCCTTGGGGGTGAAGGGGGGAAGGTCCTATTGCTAGGTTAGATTGCCAACGGGCATTTGGTTTGTAGTTTCAGTCTTGCTTCCCAATTTTTGAAGGTTTCGGTGCAAAAGGGTAAGTGGTTTTGAAAACCCATCAGAAACGGGTGGTGGAATCAAGTAGCATGGAATGTGACAACTATATAGTACTTCAGAATGTGGTTGCTGCTTTGATTTGTTTGTGTTTTCTATTTTATGCCACCTACTGTACCAATGCGAATGCGAGTAGCACATGTGTGCCAAGGTCCACACTGGGTTGGTCTAGCAACGGGGCATGGTCATATCCCTGGCATCAGGGTGTTTGGCTCAAGGCCCTTTCGGCTCAACTGTGCCCTTTTCAGCTCACCCTTGGCTCTTGGAGTTTCTAGATTCTAGACGCTTCGTTCTATGGAGCAGATTGTGATCCACAAGGATGACATCGCCATGGAGGGCTTCATGGTGAAGCAATCCAAGCACCTCAAGGAGTGGAGACAGCGTTGGTTCGTGCTGACTTCGCAGTATCTCTGCAGCTTCAAGGCTGAGGGCGACTACACCAATCCCACGGAGTATGTGCGCCTGGCGGAGTGCTCAACGGTCAGAAGTGCCGAAGACAGCACAGGGAAGGAGAACTCCTTCTGTGTGCAGACGGCACAACGTTCTTTCTGCTTGATTGCACGAAACGCGGCAGAGAAGGAACAATGGATCAGCCGGATTGGCCGGCAGATGGTTCGAAGGGCTGTGCTCATTGATGAGGATTATGAGTGAACTGCCCAGAAGAAGTTCCATCCAGGTTTTCGAAAGGAAAGGGCCATCCTATGGTTCCCAGTTCTCAAGTTCAGTACTTGTGACACTTCTGCGGTTTGACCCAGTTTCTGACCCGTCTTCGGGTCGGCCACCGCTGAAGTTCCTTTTCTGTTTGGAAGTTGCGTTGCCAAGGGGCAGCTGAACTTTCCTATTTTGCAGACACATCGTTCCAACGATCATCACTTGGATGGCGGGAACAAAAACATGCGCAAAACTAAACAACAAAATCCCTCAACAGCAACTTATCCTCCCCAACGATGCTGTTTCAGCTCTGCTCAGGCTCAACTCTGGGCTGATGCGCAAGATTGGTGCCTGGCAAATTCTGGGTGTCTGGCTACCCAACTGGCGGTGATCGTATGGATTGGCAATGATTGGTATATGTTGATACTCCCTTCCCCTAATATGAAATGCCCCCCCCCTATAGGGGCCTTGTTGTTTATGATAGTGTTATGTCGGCATTTTCGTGGCAATTTGACGCAGCATTCTGCTTTTTGATGTCTACTTGAAGGCTCACCTGGCTGCCACATTTCACCTAGCATCTAAAGACTCAACATGACCTAGATTGAGCGGGGGTACAAACGATTTTACCATTGCAAGAAGATGTGTCGAATGAGCTTCACAGATCAGGTACTTCACAAGTATTGACAAGTCATCACTCTCTCTCTCTATTTATTTACATATATATATATACATGTATGGTATGTATGTATGTGTGTGTATCAATTGCCAATAAAGTTCTGTATTGAAGCCCTCTTTTTCAGACAAACTTTCAAGATGATTTCCCTGTTAGATGCATTGTTCATCATGTGTTGCCACCCAGGCACTGGGATCATGCTGTATGTTGGCAGCAACAGCATGCACTGCAACTTCTGGTGCGGTCACTCCGGCAAGCCTTAGTCCCAAGACTTGGTCGGTGACCCCATGATGTGGAAGAACTGCTGATGATCCATAGCTATCATGCTATATTTAGGCTATATTCAATGACCAAAGGGAAACAAGGATGGGCAAATTCCAGATGTCAAGGATTGTCGAGATGTTTCAAGACGATTCGTTTGTTTGGCATTGGGTCTTTCCATTTGCCACGTTGGTTTACCAGGGGGTAAGCCCCTTCTGTGGGGATGGATGAGTAGCCCAGCCATTGGAATTGGGGGATGAACGTTCATAACAACCAGCTAGGTTTTTGGTGACAACAGCAGGGCACGTTGCTGAACCGGACACGTGTGCAGCACGTCCCGGAAGCATTTCCAGACCAGATCTTGGGATTTGAAATGACAGCATTGTTTTATCAACGGGCTTTTTGATGTTGCAATGCCCCAACCATCGTTGCATCCCCAACCAATCGATGTGCCGGTGCATCTTTCCTGGGCAAAGCTCAGGGATTTCCATTGAAAGCTTGCCACGGCTCAATCCACACTCTTGCATCCCCTCCTCTCCGTTAAGACTTTTCAGCCATGCCGGAGACTATGGAGATCAGCGACGCAGCAAAGTCGGGTGATGGCACCACTCAGAACGTTGGGATCAAGGCTGGCATGAAAGCTCAAGACCACGCAACTTCATGCAACAAAATGCAAGATCGAGAAATATAAGAAGCATGGAGGAACCCTAGATAAAGCCAGTTCCGAAATATATATTGCGAATATGTTTGCAATGAATCTTTCATTTGCAGATATGTCCGATGATATCTCCTGAAATCTTTGAATGTTTTTTATGTCCTTTGAGGTTTTGTCGTGTTCATTTGCACTGACGGGGTGTTGCTTTGGGTGTTTGAAAAAGTGCTTTTTTGGTGAAAGATCGTGAGCAGTTTGATAGGTATAGATGTGTGATTTCAGTCCAGTTTGCTGCAAACCAACAGGTTGGTGCCAGCTTTCAGTGCGCAGAATGCCGCCAGAAGTTCGACTCCGATAAGGCTGGGAATGCTGCAAGACGCTGCCGATCATAATTCTCGGAGAGCAACCAAGATAGAAAATTTTGCACTGATTATGTTGAGGGGGCTCCAACGACTTGTGCTTTCCATGTTGTGTATGTTTTTTGTTTTCTTGAATGTTTGGGCAACGCTTTCAAAATCGGTAAAAGCCATCCGCACATCCAGACAAGTCACTGACGTTGGCTAATCATGCTGTTTGGCTTTAGCTGGGCACCTGTCATTGCTTCGTCTTGTAGGCCAAGCAGTTGCACTGGAAGTTCATCCACGACCCAAACCGACACCAAGAGGATTGAGCAGTTGCCAGGCAAAGTTTTTTTCAAAACCGTTTAGGCCACTTTAGGCCAAACTTCAGGCCAAAAGTGTAGGCATCTCGAGGCATTGCCCATCTTTTAAAGGGCATGTGTGAAGTGTGCAGGTGCTGCTTTTGGACGCTCTGGGCACCAGCTCTGCTACAAGCAGTGACAAGTGAGTGTGCAGAGTGGTCTCGGGCCAGATGAGATGTCCTGGGACCACAGTATGCTTTGAGCGGTCTGAAACAAAGAGAAAAAGGATGGAAAAAGGCACCAAAGGAAAAGAAAGGCATCATATGGCATCAATAGCATCATCATGAATAGGTGTTGAATTCGTCAGGGGCAATCTGTCGGTGTGAAAACCATCCCAATCCTAGGAATCCTAAGAAGACCCGTCATCATAACTTCGTAGGCCTGATGAGGCCTCTGATTTCGCAATTGTCTCTGATGTTGCAATGCCCCAACCATCGTTGCATCCCCAACCAATCGATGTGCCGGTGCATCTTTCCTGGGCAAAGCTCAGGGATTTCCATTGAAAGCTTGCCACGGCTCAATCCACACTCTTGCATCCCCTCCTCTCCGTTAAGACTTTTCAGCCATGCCGGAGACTATGGAGATCAGCGATGCAGCAAAGTCGGGTGATGGCACCACTCAGAACATTGGGATCAAGGCTGGCATGAAAGCTCAAGACCACGCAACTTCATGCAACAAAATGCAAGACCGAGAAACATGAGAAGCATGAAGGAACCCTAGATAAAGCTAGTTCTGATAGATTGATAGATAGATAGATGATAGATGGATAGATGATAGATAGATAGATTAGATTAGATTAGATTAGATTAGATAGATAGATAGATGGATGGATGGATGGATGGATGGATAGATCGATAGATAGATAGGTAGATAGGTAGATAGGTAGATAGGTAGATAGGTAGATAGATAGATAGATAGATAGAGCGAATATGTTGGCAATGAATCTTTCATTTGCAGATATGTCCGATGATATCTTAGATCTTCTGAAATCTTTGAATGTTCTTTTATGTCCTTTGAGTCTTTGTCGTGTTCATTTGTACTGACGGGGTGTTGCCTTGGGTGTTTGAAAAAGTGTTTTTTGGTGAAAGATCGTGAGCAGTTTGATAGGTATAGATGTGTGATTTCAGTCCAGTTTGCTGCAAACCAACAGGTTGGTGCCAGCTTTCAGTGCGCGGAATGCCGCCAGAAGTTCGACTCCGATAAGGCTGGGAATGCTGCAAGACGCTGCCGATCATAATTCTCGGAGAGCAACCAAGATAGAAAATTGTGCACTGATTATGTTGAGGGGGCTCCAACGACTTGTTCTTTCCATGTTGTGTGTGCTTTTTTGTTTTCTTGAATGTTTGGGCAACGCTTTCAAAATCGGTAAAAGCCATCCGCACATCCAGACAAGTCACTGATGTTGGCTAATCATGCTGTTTGGCTTTAGCTGGGCACCTGTCATTGCTTTGTCTTGTAGGCCAAGCAGTTGCACTGGAAGTTCATCCACGACCCAAACCGACACCAAGAGGATTGAGCAGTTGCCAGGCAAAGTTTTTTTCAAAACCGTTTCGGCCACTTTAGGCCAAACTTCAGGCCAAAAGTGTAGGCATCTCGAGGCATTGCCCATCTTTTAAAGGGCATGTGAAGTGTGCAGATGCTGCTTTTGGATGCTCTTGGCACCAGCTCTGCTACAAGCAGTGACAAGTGAGTGTGCATAGTGGTCTCGGGCCAGATGAGATGTTGGGACCACAGTATGCTTTGAGCGGTCTGAAACAAAGAGAAAAAGGATGGAAAAGGCACCGAAGGAAAGGCATCGCATGGCATCAATAGCATCATCATGAATAGGTGTTTGAATTCGTCAGGGGCAATCTGTCGATGTGAAAGCCATCCCAATCCTAGGAATCCTAAGAAGACCCGTCATCATAATTTCGCAGGGCTGATGAGGCCTCTGATTTCGCAATTGTCTCTGATGTTGCAATGCCCCAACCATCGTTGCATCCCCAACCAATCGATGTGCCGGTGCATCTTTCCTGGGCAAATTTCAGGGATTTTCATTGAAAGCTTGCCACGGCTCAATCCACACTCTTGCATCCCCTCCTCTCTGTTAAGACTTTTCAGCCATGCCGGAGACTATGGAGATCAGCGATGCAGCAAAGTCGGGTGATGGCACCACTCAGAACGTTGGGATCAAGGCTGGCATGAAAGCTCAAGACCACGCAACTTCATGCAACAAAATGCAAGATCGAGAAATATAAGAAGCATGGAGGAACCCTAGATAAAGCCAGTTCTGAAATATATATTGCGAATATGTTTGCAATGAATCTTTCATTTGCAGATATGTCCGATGATATCTTCTGAAATCTGTGAATGTTCTTTTATGTCCTTTGAGTTTTTGTCGTGTTCATTTGTACTGACGGGTGTTGCCTTGGGTGTTTGAAAAAGTGTGTTTTTATGCTTTTTGCTGGTGAAAGGTCGTGAACAGTTAGATATGCATAGATGTGTGATTTCAGTCCAGTGTGCTGCAAACCAACAGGTTGGTGCCAGCTTTCAGTGCGCGGAATGCCGCCAGAAGTTCGACTCCGATAAGGCTGGGAATGCTGCAAGACGCTGCCGATCATAATTCTCGGAGAGCAACCAAGATAGAAAGTTTTGCAATGATTATGTTGAGGGGGCTCCAACGACTTGTGCTTTCCATGTTGTGTATGTTTTTTGTTTTTTGGAATGTTTGGGCAACGCTTTCAAAATCGGTAAAAGCCATCCGCACATCCAGGCAAGTCGCTGATGTTGGCTAATCATGCTGTTTGGCTTTAGCTGGGCACCTGTCATTGCTTTGTCTTGTAGGCCAAGCAGTTGCACTGGAAGTTCATCCACGACCCAAACCGACACCAAGAGGATTAAGCAGCTGCCAGGCAAAGCTTTTTTCAAAACCGTTTAGGCCACTTTAGGCCAAACTTCAGGCCAAAAGTGTAGGCATCTTGATGCATTGCCCATTTTTTGAAGGGCATGTGAAGTGTGCAGATGCTGCTTTTGGACGCTCTTGGCACCAGCTCTGCTACAAGCAGTGACAAGTGAGTGTGCATAGTGGTCTCGGGCCAGATGAGATGTTGGGACCGCAGTATGCTTTGAGCGGTCTGAAACAAAGAGAAAAAGGATGGAAAAGGCACCGAAGGAAAGGCATCGCATGGCATCAATGGCATCATCATGAATAGGTGTTTGAATTCGTCAGGGGCAATCTGTCGATGTGAAAGCCATCCCAATCCTAGGAATCCTAAGAAGACCCGTCATCATGATTTCGCAGGGCTGATGAGGCCTCTGATTTCGCAATTGTCTCTGATGTTGCAATGCCCCAACCATCGTTGCATCCCCAACCAATCGATGTGCCAGTGCATCTTTCCTGGGCAAATTTCAGGGATTTCCATTGAAAGCTTGCCACGGCTCAATCCACACTCTTGCATCCCCTCCTCTCTGTTAAGACTTTTCAGCCATGCCGGAGACTATGGAGATCAGCGATGCAGCAAAGTCGGGTGATGGCACCACTCAGAACGTTGGGATCAAGGCTGGCATGAAAGCTCAAGACCACGCAACTTCATGCAACAAAATGCAAGATCGAGAAATATAAGAAGCATGGAGGAACCCTAGATAAAGCCAGTTCTGAAATATATATTGCGAATATGTTTGCAATGAATCTTTCATTTGCAGATATGTCCGATGATATCTTCTGAAATCTTTGAAGGTTCTCTGTTGGCATGGTGTTGTCTTAGGTATTTGGGGTGTGTTTTATGTGGTTCCTTTTCGGTGAAAGATCAAATTCAAATATGTGATTTCAGACAGGACTGCTACAAACATTTACAAACCAATTTGATCATCCCCGTTCGAATTTCAACTACAGAATGGGAGGTCTTGTGCCCCGTTTCAAGGGCATTTCCGGGTTTAAATTAAGATGAACAAATGGGGATGGGCCAGGCATTTTGTACCCACAGCTTGGGAATTGCATTTTATAAGTTGTCAACGTTTCGGTAGTTGAAAGACCTTTTAAAAATCGAAAGTTATTTTGTAGCAAGAGAATTTGCCCATCGGAAGACAACATGTAAAAACCCAATCTCATTTTGTAGCAAGGGAAGTTGCCCTTCGGAAGTGTTCCCTTCAAGTAACCTGATGATAAAAACATATAAAAACCCGTCTTCATTTTGTAGTGGTGGAGTGTCCCCTTCAAGTAACTTGATGATAAAAATCAATCTTCATTTTGTAGTGGTGGAAATCCCCCTTCAAGTAACCTCATGATAAAAACCAATCTTCATTTTGTAGCAGTGTCATGTTGTCATGTTCCGTAATCCTCTGGAGGTTGAGAACCATCATTTTATAATGGCTGAGGTTAGGAATTTTGAGACTTTGGTACAAAATGAGGGTCTCGACCCATAGGTGAAATTCAAACCGGGATATTTGATCCAATTTGCAGGTTGGTGCCAGCTTTCAGTGCGCTGAATGCCGTCAGAAGTTCGATTCTGAGAAGGTTGGGAATGCTGCGGGATGCTACGTTGTTTGGGGACGATGTCTGTTGAGTTGGGTATTTGTTTGTGATTTCAATCTGAAAGCAAGTATGAACAAGGCATTGTGTAGCCATGTATCATGAAGTTCTGGTTTTTTGTTGAGGTTCATCTAAGATGTGTTTGCCTTGCTCTACTACCCACGGGCCAGTATTCCCGGAATCCACTACACAGCTGCTTTCGAAAGCTACCCAGAAAAATCCAGAAAATGCCTGAAAATCGCAAGTGACTGATTGGGTATGTACCTGACCTGTACGTATGGACTTATTACGCGTTACGTATGTACTTGTCTTGCTCGTAGGCAAAGCAGCTGCACTGGAAGTTCATCCACGACCCAAACCGACACCAAGAGGATTAAGCAGTTGCCAGGCAAAGCTTTTTTCAAAACCGTTTAGGCCACTTTAGGCCAAACTTCAGGCCAAAAGTGTAGGCATCTTGATGCATTGCCCATTTTTTGAAGGGCATGTGAAGTGTGCAGATGCTGCTTTTGGATGCTCTTGGCACCAGCTCTGCTACAAGCAGTGACAAGTGAGTGTGCATAGTGGTCTCGGGCCAGATAAGATGTCGTGGGACCGCAGTATGCTTTGAGCGGTCTGCAACAAAGAGAAAAAGGATGATGATGATGGTCTTTTGGTCCCTGGGAAATGGCCAAGCCATTTGGATTTTTAAGGGGCTGATTTGGCATACCACTATGATGCCTTTTTAGTTGTGAGTCATGAGTCATATGAGAATGTTGTTCAGGCCGGAACGGTATATGGGAATCCTCTGCAAGTTGGTTCTAGCTGAGTTGAAAACAGCAAGCAACACACCCTGGGTTGGTTTTAAGAATTGGAGCTGGTTCCAAATTTGTCGCGTCGAATCTCGCGTAGTTCGTTCTGCAGGGTTTTGACTTAAAAGATTTGGCAATCCCTACTTGGCAGACCTTGTCGAGGCTGTATCCAAGTTGGAAGGTAATGATGTAGTCCAGCATGAACGAGACACAACTCCCAAAACACAGAAAAACCATGAAACACCCAAAGTTCTTTATGCAATGGGAAATCGGCTAGCCAGGTTTGAGCTAAGCGGCTTAGCCTGGGAGCTATGTCCAAAAAAATGAACAGGCTGCAGGTACGTCACCAAGCGTCCCTGGTGATATCCTAGGAGGAGCCCCATACGTCCCCCCATCCCCCTGCATTGCTGAATGAAAATGTGCCATCAACCATGCCCTGTGTTTGAAGGGTGTACGCACACACACACACACTTGCTCAGAAACATCTTTGCGAATTCAGATGTGGAACGCATCGTACGTGCAAAAACACTTCATTTAAACCTGACAGGAGACATCGGATGACCGGGAGTGAGAAGCAGTGCGAAGTAAATCTTTCAAAGTCCTTGCTAGATGAATCAAATCGTTCTGATGGAGCTCAGTCTTCCTTTATTGACCGTAAGTAGTTCCAGATTGCGACAACAGTGCAGAAATGAATTCAAATGAAAATTGTTCGACATGCCGGTTCTGGGCTTAGCCGGTTGCCATTGACAATAAAATGGTAAAGTGCAGGTACGTGCAGTTGATCAGACTGCATATCCTCTCCAAACATCAGTAGCTTCGTTGGCCACGGACTGATGAGTGGAGCCGTGGCCCCCTGCTGAAAGTAAAATTCGTAATGCCGGTTAGAAGTTTTACATCTTTTCAGATGTTTCACACACACACGCCCCGCTGCCGCGGGGCATTTAAGGCTCCGACGAATGAGATGAAGGTGAAAATGAGAGAAAAATGGAAATGAAATGACGATGAAGATGAGATGACAAATACTTAACCGGAACACAAGAGGGGGAACGCAAAAAGGGAAAAGGGAAAGAGAAAACGCCAACACCAACACACCTAGCCCGAAACGGGCAAACCCTGAAAGGGCAAGGAAAAAGAAAAAGCGGACGGACGACGGACCAAAAACCAACCAGAGGAGGGGGGGGCGGACAGAAGCGCCTGACACAACCTACAAGGCGAGAGCCAAAACCTACCTCGGCACGCGAAGGACCCAAACCTGACCTAGAAAGGGAGCACGCATGAGATAGGGGACCAATGGGGACCTAGTTGAAGTAAAATGATGCATCCACATGGCATGCAAGATTCGTGATAAGGCTCAAAGGCCCTCGGCATTCATTTCACAACCCTGTAAACGGCTTACGTCGTCAACCCCTGAATTACATGCACAATTGAACCTCACCAGAAACCATCAAGAAAAAGAGAACCACACCTAAAGCATGTCCTGAGACCTGGAATCTCCATGTTGCAAATGTCAGTCAAACTCTCGAGCAGTGATGAAAAAAGGAAGTGTTGGCGCGGCTCCAAGCTATGTAATGTCTTTCCAGTGAAAGTGGTGAGTTCCTGGTACAGCGGGCAGCTGTTCAACACTCACTTGACCGACGTGTGAGACAATGAAAAATGGCCGGCAGTTTCACTTTACTTTGACGAATTACTAATTTCAAAAGTGTCAATTCAGAGGTCGATTTGCTTAGACAAGCATTCCCCGAAGGGTTCATGCCACCTTGACGAATCCAGCATGAATCACACACTTGCTCAGAAACATCTTTGCGAATTCTGATGTGGAACGCATCGTACGTGCAAAAACACTTCATTTAAACCTGACAGGAGACATTGGATGACCAGGAGTGATAAACAGTGCGAAGTAAATCTTTCAAAGTCCTTGCTAGATGAATCAAATCGATCTGATGCAGCTCAGTCTTCCTTTATTGGCCGTAAGTAGTTCCAGATTGCGACAACAGTGCAGAAATGAAAAGAAATGAAAATTGTTCGACATGCCGGTTCTGGGCTTAGACGGTTGCCATTGACAATAAAATGGTAAAGTGCAGGTACGTGCAGTTGATCAGACTGCATATCCTCTCCAAACATCAGTAGCTTCGTTGGCCACGGACTGATGAGTGGGGCCGTGGCCCCCTGCTGAAAGTAAAATTCGTAATGCCGGTTAGAAGTTTTACATCTTTTCAGATGTTTCACACACACACACGCCCCACTAGGGGGCAAAGCTTGTTATGGCAAAGATTAGCGCATGTTCTTTGTAAAATGGCGCCGCTGCAATCTTACGAAACTGCTCAGAAACACCCCTGCGGACATGTAAGCGCCGGAGTTGCGGCTGTTCTAGCCGTTGCTGACAAAATCACGCAAGCCCATGTTGCACTTGCTTCCGACCTACCCAAGCCAACATACGCAATATTGTTTGAACCCTTTACGTCAGCCATGGTTTGGTGTGGTAGGCGTTAGCATTGGCTGCTGCAGTGTCAGGACGTTTGAACCCGCCAGCACCTTTAACCTGGAGTGGGCCATCAGACTACATGTACGCGTCGTAACATATAAAC